GAGCTTTTGCTTGCTAATTACTTAAATCAATTTTTGCTCAAACTGTTAGATTCACGCATGGATTACTGATATCTTTTCTTGTAAGTGCATTGCTTGTGTCAGTTTTGGCTTTTCCAATTGTATTCACAATGAGATTGCTACATTTGCCAAAAAAAGGTTGGTGCCCTCGAATCTGGATGCTTCGGTTTTTGCATGCCTTTTGAGTTTTTAATCTCAAGCTCTTGTGTGTTTCTATAATACTGAATTCTATCTCTTCTTTTCAGTGTATATATTTACCGTTTAGAATCACTCAACTTATACTTGATGATTGCTGTCTTGTACTACGCCTTGTTTTGGGTTCTATTGTACCATCTAAAAACGTTTTAACACCGGGATCTGTGAAAGTTTCTCTCGAGGTGAGGAGGAGGGAATTGCAAGAAATATTTCCATTATTTATAATATTTACAACATCTCAAGTTATAGTATGACTTTGGGAATCATTGCTATCAAACTAAATGCAAAGGATGGGGAGCATATATAAACTCTGTTTGGATTAAGTAAGTTGGAGGAAAAAAAAAGGGAGAGGAAGGGTAAGAGAACATTTTTTTCTATTTAAATAGATAATTTTAATAAAGAAGAGGTAGACAGTGGGATCTCCCCTATTTTATTTTCAATTTTTTTGATTTGTAAGAATTAAGATGTATTATATTAATTAATTTATTTTTGTTTTTAAGTTTTTAAAAAAAATATATATTTTTTATTTTAATTATTTAATTAATTAATAAATTTTTAAAACAATTTATTTTTTTATTAAATTATTTAATTAAATAAAATATTATATTTTCTCTTCCTTCACTTTTATTTATCCAAACAAAACTAATATTAATCTTCGCTTTCCCTTCACTTCTCCTATCTTTCTTTCCCTTACTAATTTCTATCCAAATATAGGCTTCGTGTCCAACGGTATATAGAAATTATTATGGGATTCTTTCCTTTTATTTCTTGGAATTCTTCCCTTGAATTGCTCTGTTAGTCTCCA